CAAGGTCCTGCACCTGGGTTGAGGCAATCCCAAGCACAAGTACAGGATGAGCAAAGACTGGATTGAGAATAGTCCTTTTCTGAGAAGAAAGACTTGGGGTACTGGTTGATGAGAAGTTCAACTTGATGCAGTAATGGGAGCTTGCAGCCCAGAAAGCCAACCATGTCCTGGGTTGCATCAGAAGGAGTGTGACCAGAAAGTTCAGGGAAGTGATTCTCCCCCCTGTACTCACCCTCATGAGACCCCACCTGGAGTCCTGCATTCAGCTCTGGGGCCCTCACACAAGTGGGACATGGACCTGTTGGAGTGAGTCCAAAAAGGACCATGAACATGATCAGAGGGCTGGAGCACCTCTCCTGTGAAGACAGGTTGAGAGACTTGGGCTTTTTTTGCTTGGACAAGAGAGGGCTCTAGGGAGACCTTAAAGCAGCCTTCTAGTCCTTAAAGGGAGCATAGAAGAAAGCTGGAGAGGGATGTTTTTACAAGGGCATGTAGTGATAGGACAAAGGGGAATGCCTTTAAAGTGAAAAAGGGAAGATTCAGATTAGATATTAGGAAGAAGCTCTTTATGGCAAGATACTGGAACAGGCTGCCCAGACAAGCTGTGGCTGCCTCATCTCCGGAAGTGTTCAAGGCCAGGCTGGACAGGGTTTTGAGCAACCTGCTCTAGTAAAAGATGTCCCTTCCCTTTGTGAGGGAAGTGGAAATAGATTAATTTTAAGGTGCTTCCAACCCAAACCATTCTATGATTCTATTATGATTCTATGATTATTAAGGAAATAAAACATTGATTACACAAGTTATGTTAATTCTAAAGAAGAAATAGCTGTCATCCAGCCTCTTTCTAAAGCAATGTCTTTTTTCTGAGAGCACTGTAAATTGCTGTGCATATATGATCATACTGTGTTGAATGCAAGAAGGAGATTTGCAGGTCCTTCACTTTCTTTTTCATTGTGCAGATAAGCATCAACTTACAGTCTTAGGAGTTTAATTAGAAGTGAGACTAACGTCATCACAGAGACAAAAGGGGTGTTCTGCCATCGCCAGCACTTCTCTCACTTATCAGGGTCACATAGCATAGCAGGTGAGCAAGAGCAATGTATACAACCCTTTTTCATTGGAAAGGTGAAGCCAAAGCTCAGGCAATAGAGTGACAACCTTTGTCATGGCTCGAAATCAGAGCTATGGGAACAGGAATTGTTGAGTTGACAATTTGCATTTGCTCATTTCAGTTCTGAAGTTAACACAGCACATTTCAACAGCACTCACCAGTCAATCAGCCTGGCCGGCCATAAAAGGCAAATCTCTTTTCCCCCCTCTTTCCACCACTTATTTGATAAATACTACTGAGTAGTAAGATAAGGCAAAAATAGTAATTGCAAGTAACCTTTACTAAGCATTTTTTGAATAAAAATCCTTGATATTTTTAATTTAGAGTATGTGTTAAGATCCCTAGAAATAGATTGGAACTCCACAGTGACAAGCTTGGAGGCTAAGTTTCTCAAAGGAAATCTTTCTGCTAGCTGCAAGGCAGGAAGGGAAAATGTTCTCACTTGTTAAAATCTGTGCATTAACCTTTCTCATCTGTGTGTATAGCTACATGTTATAACAATGGCAGATATATATACTAACAAGGGCTAAGGATGAGACATACAGCATCTTTTCATTTGGGCAAGAGAAAGAATGAAAAAATAATGCAATTCCTATTGAATTCTGTGTTTGTATGATTGAATTGCTGAAGCAAAGATACACTAACCTCGTTTTCTTTATTTAAGAAGTCATTGTCCTCAGTCATTTTTTTTTTTTTTCATGGAGAATAAGCTAGCTTTTCTTCATGGAGCCATATTAAATCTCCTTCTTGCAGCAGGCCTTGGATTCCTCCTTTTTTTTTTTTTAATAAGAAAATGTTAAAAAATGGCCTCCTCCTTGTAAAAAAAAAATAAAATTCTCTTTCTAGTGCCCCACCTGCTCCATGCCTTAGACTCACAGGTTATTTCACTTTTTAAATAGACTACTATACCTGTTTTTTTCTGTGCACCCTTCCCTTTCGGAAGAGCGTCATTTAGCCATTTGTCACTCTTTTAGCTTCCTAGTCTGCTTACTAGTTTTCTTCTTATATTATCCTACCCTGAATCATAAAAGAGCTTGATGTGCTGTTCTGACCAAGGGAGTAATGATGGAGGTTTCCAGACTTGGAACTTTTAGCCTATACTTCTGCTTATTCTTTTGCACTGCTCTGTGCTGACTTCCTCTCAAAAATACTGTAGAATTCAGCAGAAGTCTTTGTTAAATTTACATTATTTGTAAATATTTGGTGGAGAAAGTTCTGCTTCCTGCTTTTTTGTGGCTTTCTAACTCCACTAGGCTTGATCTTTTGCTTATGAGCATCCCCTACTGTCCCTCTGAGAATGAGTTGCTCACCTAGATAGGATTCTTCATATGACAGTAATACTAATACTAATTCAATAATATACATACATACCATAGCAACACCAATGTAACAAAATCCATATAATATTGAATCCATTGTCCTCTAGCCTATAATTATGGACCCAAATGCCAAAACTGTGACAGCCTCTCAAAACTCTTCAAAAGCAGATGAGAACATGTTCAGCAAATGTGACCGTTTCATGTTAATCAGAAGTTCAATTCAGAAGCACTGGGAGGAATCAATAAACAGTTATAGTTATGCCTTGTAGGTTTATACTTTTACAGTAGTTGCTATGACATTCTTTAAATAGTCTTAGTTGTATTTCTTCTATTAGTAGTACCTCACTCCCTGGATTGCTTAGGTACAGCAAATAAAACCAAACTGCTGCCTTCTGGTGCTTTTGTTCTATCAGCTGCCTACTTGCAACATTTGCATATATACACCAAATGTCTATCTAACGCATATGAGATATGGCAGTACAATACACTGAGATTTGCTATAAAATTTTTCTTAATGAGACTAAAACCTGTACTTGCAATATGAAAAGAGATTTCATTAGGCAGCAGGGCTTATATGTTCTTCATTTCAGATTTGGATTTATAATCCTAAAGTTCCCATGAAAGCTTTCAATAGACTGGTATAATAGACAAAACAATAACTGGAGGTGGACCCTGTAGAATTTTAACAAATCATTTCAATGCTGTCCAAGCAAGAATGCCTAGAAACTTATTTCACTTTCAGTTATGCCCTCAATACCACAGCAAAATTAACTGTACAGGAATCAGCAATACTATTTAAACTTGTTTTTCACTTGTGAGGTGGAAATAGCTAGACCAAGACTGACTGTTCTGTAGTTGTATTATAGATGTGCAGCACTTGAGTACTCATATACAGGTCAAAGAGAGTGATTGATTCCAGTGCAGTGAACGGATTTATTAAAGCACAGCATTAATGGCTAGATGACTCTCATTTTCACAGTTCTTGACCTCTCAAGTTGTTGTCTTTATGAAAATCAAATATTCATTGTTTTTCATATAACTCACCATTACCTCTGTCATCTGTGCTTCAGCCTGGATACTATCATGTTATCTTTTGTATCTCAGAGGTCTAATGTACATCACAACAATGAAAATTTTAGGATTAAACTACTCATATTGACATCAGTCAGAACTGAAATGCATTGCCATGCCTTTGACCAAGACACCAAAAGACAACTATGAAGATCCAGGTTACTTACTTTACAGTTGAATGAGAAAATATAAAGAATTCTTCCTTTCATGAAATATGTTGAATAATTGATCAAATGGAAGTTTAACTTAGATTTAGATGAAAAAAATGTGCAAGATGCATAGTCACAAAGCAATTGCTGTCAGCATTACTCTTTTTCACTGTTGTTATTATACAGTATATGCTTACATAGTATAATGCCAGTTTAAGCCATTTAATTTGCCCCTTTTATTTTTTTATTTAGAATTTCTTTATATACACCATAGAGAAAAAAAATTAACATCGAAGCAGCTGCAATGATTTAAAGTGCTTGCACATCCAAACTTAGTAATAACTTAAAGCCCCTTTCTGGAGTGTTTGAAAGTAGTGCATTTGCATCAGATATCCCTAAACATAATACTGAGGTTGTGAAGGTTTCAATTAGGATACTGAGCTGTAAGCTTACTTGATTTATGGTAATGCTTTGTTGCATAAATTAAAAATGTTTTCAGTCATACAAGTCGTGTGTTCATGTGCCCTAGTTTAGGCATTTAAAAACCTTATGTCTGAGTCATCTTGGAAACTTCATCATAATGAAGACAAATCAACATTTTCAGAAGGTGATTCTTGGCCCTGTTTTAGACAACTATCTTAGAAAACTAGTATACCCTCACAAGCTGCTCATTTCTCTTGACTGATAATCATATGGCTCTGGGATCTTAGACATGAAGGTTTAACTCTTGTAAGTTTAAAGTTAGGTGGAAATTAATATTCACCCATTCTCTTCTCAGTATAACTTATCCTGCCTGTCTACCTCTGAAATATCTAAAATGTTTGGTAAACATATCTGTTAAAATTTATCAAATAATAATCAAGAACAAAGATGTGCCTGCAACATTCAATTAATATCTATACCATTACTTTTTGAAATTCCAAAATCTGCCTTTAGATGAATAGAGCTGGAAAGGCTAAGATGGGCAATTTATAGGACTAAACTGCAGGTTGGGCTGTGGGATTTCAATAATTCTGTAAAATCACAGAAACATTGGAAGGAAATTATCTCTGAAGATGGCCTACTTTGGACTGAACTAAAGTTCATTTGCTTCTCCTGCTTGGAGCAGGACTATTGATACAATTAGTTTGGTTCAGTCATGGCTTTTTGTAGTGCAGTCTTGAAAGCCCCAAGGATGGAGGCTCCCTGCCCCTCTCAAAAGACCTTTTATAAAGCTGAAGTACCTTCGTTGTGAAGATCTTTTTTTCCTAATCTGCATCCTGAGCCTCCCAGGCTACTACCTGTGACTGCTGCTCTATTTATCATGACTTCTATGAAGGATATTTTGAGTCAACCATTCTTGTAATTCCCCTTCAGTTAGCAGCAGATTGAAATTAGAAAGTCAAGCCAATGTCAGTGTACATCCAGCTCATGTGCTTTCTGTATGCTAATCAAATGTATGACATTTCTGCTTTCCTGTATCTGAGAGAAAAAAGACAAATTGTGGCTTACAATGAAAAGAGTAGAGTGCCAGTTAAGAACTTTTTTATTTTCTTGCTGAATTTTACAATATAAAACCTTTGCTGGAACAGTTTTGCTTGAGAATTTCTGATTTTTCTGATTGAACACTTTAAACCACTTTGAAATTAGATATGTCTGTCTCAAAAGTGAGGAAAAGTGCTGAAGTGCAATTAAGTGAGTCAGTGTCGGTTAAACTCACCTATGTGTTACACTCACTTTCTGCCACAAAATTTCAATCAAATTTCAAGTATCATGAATAGGCCTGCTGCTATTACTGCTGTTGATTCCACTTCTGACATAAATAGAGAAGACAAAGGAAGTTTTTTCCACCTCATAGTGAGGATGTTGCTTGCATAGGAAGTAGCATTTTTTTCTAGTTCAAAGCACAATACATTGAATGTACCAAACCTCCTTGTTCTAAGAGGAGAATATTCTAACAACCTAGACGAAATGCGTTAGCAGCTGTAGGTAGTATGTTACTATAAAAGTACCGTCACATAGAAAATCAAGATATGGCAGCCCTTGGAATGCAAGTAGGTTTTATGAGCAATATACTTTTTAGTGAAAGATAATTTTGAAAATGCAGAATAGATTTTGTACATAAATTAGAATTGTGTTAAACCCACAACTTTGCTCATCACAAACGTCAGAAATGTCTGTCAGGAGTGTTTACAGAAAAAGAGATTTTAACTTTCATCTTGATAAACAGAAGTTATTGTGTCTTTTGCAAATCTTTAGACAACAGAATTTTGAATATTTTATCAAGTGAAAGAAATAATTCCAGATGATTTATCAGACTAATAGCCAACAACTGGAAAAGCTAGTAAGAGATTTAACAAATTACTGAAGAAATTACAAATTTGTTTTTAAAATCATATCCCTTTCGAGTAACTTTTCTAAAGAAACTATGATCTGTGATGGCACTCCACAAGCATGGAATACATGAACTGTTGTGCACTGTTTGAGAAAACACAGTTGTGTTGTTGTAGCTAAAAAAGATGTTTATTTTTCACCAAGCTCACCACTGCATCAACCAATTCTCATTGTGACAGTATTGCAGCCACGTAACATTATACACACCATTGACATGAGCTCATGTGAGTTCCTGTCAAACCAAGATAAAGAGGAATAGTGGGTATGGTCTAGAAAACAAAAAATAAGTGAGCTGTTTCACCAGTCTGAGAATAGAAACAAAATTTACAGCCAAGTCCTTTTGACTGCAATTATTTATAGTTGGTAATAAAATGGACCACAGACTATTAGTTGGCCCCAAGGGCAAGTAGCACACATTGGCTAATACTATCATGGCTCTGCTTTCATCCCCCACCAAGACAATGTAGCCACATATTTAGTGACTTTGGGAATGCTCCCTGGTAAGTCTTTCTTATAGTTTAAAACTAGCAAAATTCAAAAGTGAGTCTGTGATATCTTTATGTCAGCACCTCATCTGACACTTGAACATGAGAGACAAGCAACACAGGAAGAAGCAGGTCTACTGTCATAGCCAACTCCAAGTGCTTCCACTACTTAAAAAGAAAATACACCCATGCCTTTCTCCAGTGAACTCCCTGAATATCCCACCAAGGTACATGAAAGCATGAAAGAAAGAAAATTTTTCGTCATTTTAGACTGCCACTTCATCTTGCCAAGCAAAGCCTCACTTTGGAAAGGCAGAATTAGCAATTAATGTTGTCATGGCATGTTATATTATCTTTCTTTATAAAGAATGTGTCTTGGAGGTGGCAAAACAGGGATAAAATGAGATTTCTAAGATCCTAGGATATCCAGACTTTGGCAAACAAATGTGGATTCTCTAGCAAGATAAACTAATTTCTCACTTGAATTAACTTGAGGGGAAAAAATGGAGGTTTTTGACTATTAAAGGAGTGAGATTCTGGTAAAGGCTTTCAAGCAGCAAAGCAAGGAGATGATGTAGGAACCTGATATCTTTTCAGATAGAAATATATGATGATATTGCCTCCTGTAACAAGGCATTGGGACTTCAGGATCAGAGAGATCTCTCCCAGACACCTTTTTTTTTTTTTTTTTGTTCCTGCTTTTAAAACTGTACTTTTATTTCACTGTAGAAAACAATGCTCAGTCTCCCCCTGCAGCATGTATACAGCCTTAAATAGTAGAAACAGTATTTTGTCTTTGATTCATCTTTCAGTATTATCCTGTCATTTATGTTTTAAATCATATGTGAACATTCTACCTCAAAAAGACTGCCACTGTTTTGTTTCTAAGTGTTTTATTGTACATAATGAGCTAAATGCTATAGCTCATCATAAAACAATAATACTTTGCATTAAGAGAAATACATTTCCTTTTACTCATGATTGCCTTTTTTCCTGAGATGATGTGTACATAATGATTTCTTTTCAGGAGAAGGAGAAGTAGTTAGCTAACTCAGATGGATAAAAAAAATACACACAATACTAAACAAAACTTCATTGTCACAATGTGTTTCATTCTATGCTGTATTTCCTTTTAGCAATTTTCTTATTGAAGTATAGAATTTTAAAACCATTTCTTGTTCTGAAACTGCATAGCAGTGATGGAATCAGATTACCAATACAAACACTAGCTCTGTGAACACTTCAAGCTTGCATAAACTTGTATAATCTCTAACCTTACCCTCACTCTTCATTACCCCCTTCGTCTCTCATAAAACAAAAAAAGCACTTATGGAGCCATGCAACAAACTGGACTGAGTTAAATTAACCTTTACTCTCCCTTTTGGGCTGGGTTAATTTTAGCTTAGATCTGTCTCTGTCCAGGTTCACTGTCCAGCTATATGGGTACTAATCTCAGCACTAATAACTGGAGAAAGAAATAAGGAATGAGTACCCAAAAGCAGAGGCTTTGCTCAGTTCTTTCAATATCTAGATTAAAGACCTCAATGAATTAGAATGAAAATATTACAGAGGACATGACTGTAAAAACATGCTACTGGAAATAAATAATATCACATATGAAATTCAATATTCTGCATTAAATTAATAATTAAATTAATCATTAAAAAGATTAAATGGCATTATACACTCAAAACTCAAGAAATGCTCATTCAAGTATATGTCCAGAGCACATTTCTCACAAATTATATTGTTGTATTTCCCTGGGCAATACAATTAATCTTCAAACTCACAGATATCTGTGTGTTGCCCAAGGTGTGTGTGACTACACAGTAGAAATCAGAGAGGAGAATATTGTCTTTAGCATGTGGTAGGCTGTCTACTCTGATTCAATTTGTTTAGAGCTCAGCAGAAAGCTCTGCACTGGTGTTCACACCTTACATTTTGTTGTATTTCACATAGTTTTATTTTAAATTTTATTTAATTATGTATTCATATTATGAAGCTTATTGATTTGTGTGTATATATGTTTCCTGATTCTTTGGCCCATTCATATGTCAGATCATTCCTCAAAGCTAATAATAATTGTGGATATTTTTAATACATCATGATAGCTACAGATTTAGTGCCCTTCAGTATTAATTCCTGACAGTTATTTTCCCATTTATTTTATGAGAGAATTTTAAACAGAGAAAGATATCATCTGATAACTAAATGTTCCTTTTTATCTCATTTGTAGCAATTGTCAGTGCACAGAGGCATTACTATGATCAATTCAAATGTATGAACAGTGGTGCCGCCTATGAAAATATGTGAAAACTGAACAGAATGAAGCACTGATGAAATTTCTGTTCTGTTCTAATCTTTACTGATATCCACTGCTAAGACAGCTTATAAGAGCTTGCAGTTTGCAGGACTGTGAAATGACAGACTATAGAAAAATTTGAAAGTTCTGATTGATTAGAAAAACTCTTTTGTAGTAGCTTGGCATGGCAACCTTTTAAATTTTAGATCTAAGTCACACATTTCATGGAACCATTCTAAGGAATGAAGCTTAGAATCTTAATTTTGATTAATAAGAAGGAGGGTAGAAGAAGAAACATAGGCCATTAAAACAATAATGTCTTTCATTTACAAGACTGATATCATGGTCTAATCTCATAATAATTATTTTAAAGAAACTAATAATCTTTTTTCATTGATAGCTGACTTTTTTTTTTAATGCTTTACACAGCAAGAGGTGATATGTCACCATTCAGGTTTTCTGTTTTCCAGGTAACCTAGATGTAAACTCCTGAACTCCAGTAAGCAGTGAGCGGACAGAACACATGTACCAAGATGCTCACAGGTTTCTCAGCACACAGATCGCACCATCAGTGCTATCACTGCCCTGGAGCACTCAGTAGCTGCCCCCTACTCTAGGAGGATTTTTCTCTTTCGCACTTGAGGAGATGGGCAGATCTACTCTACAAGAGCTCAGAGGCTGAAGCAAAGGCCCTTACTGAATCAATTTGGCAGACCCTGTGCTCTTACACAAAGGATCCTAGTTAAGACAAGCTGTCTTTTACTTGGCTGAGATGAGATATTTCCAGAACCAAGTCTCTTTCAACCTTGAAAATACCCAGTCTTATGTCCTCACTATAATGCTGTTGTTTTATTTGCCTTAGAAAGTTGACAATCTTTTATCTTCTTATCTTTGTTTTGCAGAAAGATTCACTTAACTTGCAAAGTCCCCCCAGTGAGCTTAGCAACTGGCACCACAACTTAAATAACAGGCCAAACTTAAGAAAGTGCCTCCTTCTGGTGGTTTAAACCCAGCCAGAGAGCTTGTTCACTCACTTCCCCCCTTCTTGCCCTCCCCCTACTCCCAGAGGGATGGAGAGGAGAATCGAAAAGAATGCAACTCCCACAGGTTGAGATAAGAACAGTTTAGTAACTAAGGTATAACACAGATCACTACTGCTACCACCAATGATAATAATGATAAAGGAAATAACAAGGAAAGAGAGTACAACACCTCACCACCAGCCAACCGATAACTCGCCCCCCCCAGCCCGACCAAGCACCGACCAATACCTCCTCCAACTCTGCAGTCCTAGCCCTTCC